CATACACACCTGACACTGCACAGAGAGATGATTATCTCACCACCTTAAGTGAGACACCATAGTGATCTCCCTCACAGGGGCTCCATGGGTACTGACTCACTGCAGGAGACAGACTCTAGTGGACACTGGAGGAACTGCAGCTGTAAAGATGGAGATTTTAACATAGAGCTCTATGGGGACTGACTCACTGCAGGAGACAGACTCTAGTGGACACTGGAGGAACTGCAGCTGTAAAGATGGAGATTTTAACATAGAGCTCTATGGGGACTGACTCACTGCAGGAGACAGACTCTAGTGGACACTGGAGGAACTGCAGCTGTAAAGATGGACTGTGCCTAAGCACGGTTGCCTCTTACATAACGTCGTAATACAACACATGCATACTTTATGTTATTACCAAGCGTGCTCTGTTTACAAACAGGCAGAGTCAAGAAAAAAAAAAGAAAAAGAGACGCGCGGCCGATTCCCTGGGCGAGTCCGTGGCCGCACATCGGAGAAGACAACACAGAGAACATGAAAGCTACTTTGTTGCTTATTTTGAGTCATGTTATGACCAAGATGGCGGCGCGAGCGCATCGCGAGGCCCAGCGTCTCTCTCAGATTTGCAATTTTGCAGTAATTTTATTGTTAATTTCGGGTCTGTTCGCACGGAACAGCCTCGCCTTAACATCCTACACCCGACAGGAACTTTTGGATATTGGAATACACCTCCCTGACGATTTAATCAACAATCTTCAACTCATCCCTGAGATCGCCAAAACACCCGAGGCTACGCACTCTACCCGGCCGGGCGGAAGTGCTCGCAGGCGGCGTCGAGACCGTAAACAAAGGCGGGGGAAGCGCGGAGGTATAAGGGCTAAGCTAAAGCTAACACCTCACCGTCTCCCGTTACCCAGCATTTTCCTCGCTAATGTGCGGTCTTTGGTGAACAAAATGGACGAGTTACGACTTCGCATCATCCACAGCAAGAGAATTATGGACTGTAATGTCATGATCTTCACGGAAACATGGCTAAACAACGGAGTACCGGACGATGCTATCAAGCTAGCCGGTCGCCACACACACCGAGCAGACAGAACAGCAGAGGACTCCGGTAAGACCAGAGGAGGAGGGCTGTTCATTTATATTAACAAAGCTTGGTGTACAGACTCTGTCATTATTGGGAGGCACTGCTCAGCTAACATTGAGTTTCTCATGGTTAAATGTAGACCTTTCTATCAGCCAAGGGAGCTCAGCTCCACTATTGTAACTGCAGCCTACATCCCCCTGATGCCGATGCAAAGCTGCTATGAAGGAACTTTACACCGCTATCAGTAAACAACAGACTGCTCACCCGGAGGCTGCATTTATAGTTGCAGGTGATTTTAATCACTCAAACTTAAAGACAGTGCTCCCTAAATTTCACCAGCATGTTTCCTGCAATACAAGAGGAAACAAAACTCTGGACCATGTTTACACAAACATCGCAGGAGCCTACACCACGACCCCCTCCCCCACCTGGGACAGTCAGACCACCTTTCTTTGTTCCTCATCCCCAAGTACTCCCCACTCATCCAACGTGTGAAGCCATCAGTAACAACGATTAAAGTGTGGCCAGCGGGGACAGACTCTGTACTTCAGGACAAGTTCCATCACACAGACTGGAGTATGTTTGCTTCTCAGGCTACCTTGGGCTCTCACACAGACATTGACACCTACACTTCTTCTGTGCTGGATTATATCAATACCACCATCGACAGTGTTACAACATGGAAGCAGATCACCACGTACCCAAATCAGAAGCCATGGATGAACAAGGAGGTGCGTCTCCTGCTGAAGGCCCGCAACACCGCCTTCAGATCAGATGATGCAATGGCCTACAGCGTATCCAGGGCAAACCTGAGGAGGGGCATCATCAAGGCCAAGCACTGCTACAAGCTGAAGGTTGAGGAACACTTCTCCAACTCCGACCCCAGACGCATGTGGCAGGGCATCCAGGCCATCAGTGACTATAAACCCAGAAACTCCACCCCGATAACCACAGATGTCTCCTTCCTGAACGAGCTAAATCACTTTTATGCTCGTTTCGATAGAGACAACAGGGAGACGCAGACCACGACCAGACCTCCTGCAGACAACCAGCCCCTCTCACTCACCTCCACAGACGTCCACGCTGCACTGAGCCGGATCAACGCTCGAAAGGCTGCTGGTCCAGACGGCACCCCGGGCGCGTGCTTAGAGCATGTGCGGAGCAGCTCACTGGGGTTTTTACGGACATCTTCAACCTGTCCCTCGCCCAAGCAGCTGTGCCAGCATGCTTCAAAGCCACCTCCATTGTCCCAGTGCCGAAACACTCCAGCCCGACAGGCCTGAACGACTACCGCCCTGTGGCACTCACACCCATCATAATGAAGTGCTTTGAGCGACTGGTCCTAGCACACCTGAAAAACTGCCTCCCACCCACACTGGACCCATTCCAGTTTGCCTACCGCAGCAATAGGAGTACAGAGGATGCAGTCTCCACTGCGCTGCACTCTGTGCTCACTCATCTGGACAATAACAACACATACGCACGAATGCTGTTTGTTGATTTTAGCTCAGCATTCAACTCTGTCATCCCCTCCAAGTTAAACACTAAACTCGGAGACCTGGGCTTCAACCCTCCCTCCGTCACTGGATAATGGACTTTCTGACCAACAGACCCCAGTATGTTAGGTCAGGACACACCTGCTCCACCACCATCACACTCAACACAGGCGTACCACAGGGCTGTGTGCTGAGCCCATTCCTCTACTCCCTCTTCACCCACGACTGCAGACCTGTACATGGATCCAACACCATCATCAAGTTTGCGGACGATACGCGGTGATTGGCCTCATCAGCAACAACGATGACACGCCTACCTACAGGGAGGAGGTACAGCATCTGGTGCTGACAACAACCTGCTCTTCAACACCAGCAAGACGAAGGAGATCATCGTGGACTTCAGGAGAGAAAGAGGAAGCACGCACAACCCCATTCACATCAACGGGATGGCTGTTGAACGTGTCTCCAGCTTCAAGTTCCTGGGGACCCACATCACAGAGGACCTCTCCTGGTCCACTAACACCTCCAGTCTGGTTAAGAAGGCTCATCAACGCCTCTTTTTCCTGAGGACACTGAAGAGACACCACCTGTCTTCAGCTGTACTGACGAACTTCTACCGCTGTGTGATCGAGAGCATCCTGACCAGCAGTGTCTCAGTCTGGTACGGAAACTGCTCTGTCACAGACCGTAAGGCGCTACAGCGGGTGGTAAAAACCGCCCAGCGCATCACAAGGTGTCCACTTCCTGCCATTGAGGATGTCCAAAGAACACGCTGTCTGCGGCGAGCTCATGGCATCCTTAAAGACTCCTCCCACCCTGCCCACAGACTGTTTACCCTCCTGCCCTCCGGCAGGCGCTTCAGAAGCCTCCGGACCAGAACCAGCAGACTGAGGAACAGCTTTTTCCCCAGAGCTGTTTCTCTACTGAACTCTACCCCCCGAACTCTGAACTCTGTCTCTCTCTCTCTCTCCCTCTCTCTCTCCGCACCCTCCCCCTTTCCCCTGCATATCACCTCACACCCATCATCCCCCCACCACTCCTCCTGGTCACACACACATCTCTCATCCATCTGTATTATTGTATTATAGTATGTTCATATTATGTCCATATTCTTTAAATTATCTGTAAACTTGTATAACATGCTCACTGCATCTTAATCTGTATATTATTAGTATAGCATGCTCACTGCATCTTATTCTGTATATTATTAGTATAGCATGCTCACTGCACCTTAATCTGTATATTATTAGTATAGCATGCTCACTGCACCTTAATCTGTATATTATAATCCTAACACACTTATTTTGTAGCATTACTTATTTATAGCATTTATTTATATTTATTGCATCCCATTAATCCAGCCATCCAGATATACCTCATAATTCACTTTTTTTTGTCTACATCTGTAAATTTTGCAATTACTGTACATAGCACAGAATTACTGTACATAGCACAGACTCTTGCACTCAATTACTGTACATAGCACAGACTCTTGCACTTTCTGCTTATTTGCACTTCTGGTGAGATGCCAAACCTCATTTCGTTACTCTATACTTGTATATGTGTAATGACAATAAAGTTGAATCTCATCTCATCTCATGTTAGTCAGACACAGCCATGAAACTCTGGATTTCTCCAGAATGAAGGCTGTCAGCGTTGTGTGCCCACGTGCATGAAATGTCACACGGAGCGGTCACATTGGCCAAACAAACTGGACTTTAGGGTTGAAGCGTGCTTGGGCACGGTACGGATTGCCAGTGTGACCGCGCCCTTAGTCAGAAAAAAATGATCAGAATACAGAAATAGAATCCCTGACCCCGACGTCAGATGCTGTTTTCTTTAAACATTAGCTAAACTCAAAGACAGAAAATATATCCCATGTCCTGGTGACTACATCAAAGTCGGATCAAACCTTCATTAATCTTTGTCATCACTGCGATTGGTTTTCCTCCAGCAGTTAGGGATATCTGAGGAACTCATTCGTCATGGCCTTCAGATGACACTGTGTCATGAAATATCACAGAGGTGCAACAGAGCTGATCAATACTCTGAATAATCAATGTAAATTATCTGTATGCTGAGAGACTGATGGAGCTGAGAGTGTTTTCACACAGCTTTCAAACTGAATAGTCCCACTCGTCATTCAGCTGCAGAATAACTCCGGATAAAAAAGGACAGCAGGATGTCCACAGAACGGAGACGGTTGCCAGGCAGCAAGCTGTCTCTAGAGCTGAAACCTCCTGTGGGCATCACACACATTGATTTATCAATTCAAGGCTAAGTGGGAGCAGCAGAAAAGTGACAGTGATCAAAAAGCTCATCCATAAACATCAGTCAGAGTTTGATCGAGAAGATGACAGGATGAGACATTTTCCGAGGTCAGAAAAATCCCCCAGGACAAGAAAAGGCGGGAAATAATGAATGAAAGAGGCTGATTGGTTTAAATCGTACCAGTTGGTTTTATTATGACAATGCACACTTGAAAAGCAAAAAGCCTTGGCATCCTGCAAAAAACCAACAATATTATGACAACGTGAGTCACCGACAGTCAGCCAGTGGACTGTGCCTTACATTATTATTGCAGAGGATCACTTTCAGTTGAACTCATTAGCAAACAGAAGGACAAAAAATAAAGTTTGTGATTACATTAAAGATCGGTCATTCCATCTTTGTATAGTGGGAGATACATTTGATATGCAAACACACAGGATAAAATAAAACTCGTAAAATATGTGACCCATGACAAAAAAAAACAAAGTGCACATAACTGAATCATAATTGAAATTCTAAACTAAGATTTTATAAATCACTTTATTATCGAACCATTTCAGGCTGTATCAAAAACTTTTTAAAAAATTAGAAGGAACATTTTATTCATTCAGAGAGATAGCTGCTGGAGACTCAAGGTTGTTTCATCTTCCTGCCTCATTTTGAAACACGTGGCCATCTCAGCTGTGACCTCTCAAATGTGAATATATCTATTCAGTCCCATCAGGGACAGTTATGGCACAACGTTTGTCCTCAGACTGAAGAGAAGGACTGCCTCCAAACATAAAAATATAATAATCTCAGATCCAAAATAACCTCAAGGACTCCTGTACCTGTTTTTAAGGAGCTAGTGGATGTGGAAAACGGCTGTTCATTTTGTTAAGCTTAAGATATGGGTCAAATGTTAGAATCAGACATCTGAATGAAACCTAAAATATTGCATCCAAATGTTCCCTGTTGTCTAAACAAAGAGTCCAAATGTCCGTCCACCATCTTTAGTCTTTCAGCTGCTGATCCCTGTGACGTTATGACTATTTGTGCTTCCTGAGCATGGCAATGTCTGCTGAGTGAACATCATGAAACATAACATTTATTGGCTTATTGTAAAACAGGCATAAAGAGTTGTTGCAGGTTATTTTAGTGAGGCAGTCCTTTTCTACCTGCGTTCTTCCTCCACTAAAGAAGTAACACAATCCTCCAGAGATACAGTGAATTCAAAACCAGTGACACAAACAAAGTATTTATTATTCATCTCTAAATCTTTTTAGGCTACCTTGTTATTCTCATCTTTACTAGACGCCGTGAATAAGGATAGAAACAGACAACTCGTGTTAAAAGGCAAACTGTATTAAATCTGATCAAACAGACCCCCTCATTCACTCACACACACACACACACACACACACACACACACACACACACACACACACACACACACACACACACACACACACACACACACACACACACACACACACACACACACACACACACACACACACACACACACACACACACACACACAGTGTTGTCAGATCCTTGTGAGAAGGTTTTAATATTCACTTTCCTGATTAAAAACAGTTGTTGTCGCCTGCAGAGGTCTGATGGCAGTTCACTCTCTTCAGGTTTGATTTCAAAGAACGACAAAAGACGAGCTGTTAGGAAAAACATTCAGTCCAGAACAAAAAGAATCAAATGTTGGGATAATGATGACAACACTAAATAAAAGCCAGAATTTTAAACAAACAGAGAAAGACAAAAAAATGCAGATGCTGGGAAGGGAGAGCTTGTCTCCCATTTGTCACCTCTGACCACATGGTCTTCTGACAGCCAATGTGATGACAGCTTGTTTGTCTTAGGCCACTGTAGTAGCTGGGCTTCCACTAAAAAAGTAGTCCCACCCAGCTGTTCTAACCAAATACCCCATTTGTCTACTGAAAACCCCACCCACCTCACGGCTGCCCCTCCCCCACCATAGTCCCCCGTAACTGTGTTGTACTTTAGCACCTTTTGTCATCTCTCCCTGTTGAAGTCCTGACAGACGAACACCAGGATGGAAACCGTCACAGTTCCTCAGGCGTTTTCTCCCTCCACCCCATGAGAGGAGGGTCACACCAGTCTTAGGGGGGCACGTAGGGAGGAGGAGATCTGTAGGGGGTCATGTTCTTGGGACGGGAGCCTTTGCCCTCCATCGGGGTGGTAAAGGGAGGTGGCGGCTGGTAGGGAGGGGCGTTTGGGTCCTCGTCCCGCAGAGCGGTGTACTCCCCCAGAAGCTCCTGGTTGAGGGGAGTGGTCTCTGGAGTGGCCATGTTGGGGTACTCAGGGGGCGGGAGTGGGGGCTTCTCCTCCTGCAGAATCAGGGGCATACTGGAAGAAGGAGGCGGCTTAGAGTCGTCCAGCTCATCAGCAAATATGATAGGTACACCTTTTTTTGATAAAGGTGGCCTGATCTTCAATGGTCAGCTTGCCTTTTCTCTTCTTCCTATAGCAGATCATCGCTATGATACCTGCTATGAGCAAGATGGCTGCCACCACCACAGCAGGAATGACTGTGTGGAGGTAAACATCATCTGTGCTCTGCCTGCCTGTCCCCAGAGCTGGAGTGACTGCCGGAGGTTCAGGGATGTCGATCTCTCCTGGGGGGATGAAGGAAAACATCCTGCAGCTGGCACGTCCCTTCACCATGACATCCAGAGGTCTGAATTCAGGCTCCATAGAATACCTAAAGGTCTGTGAGGGCTTCCCATCAGCACTAGCGAGAGTCCTGCTCATGACTTGTAGCTGTTCTTTGGGGCATGGCTGTGTTGGGAGGCTGGTGTTAGTCCACTCGACCACAATGGAGCCTTTGCTGATGTTCCTGAGACTGACTGTGCTGCTGTTTCTGTCCCCGAGAGCGTATGCCAGCTTCTTGACCAGGAGGATCTTCTTGTGGATGTCGTTTGTCACTGACCGTGGATCACCATCAAAGCGAGCCGTGAAGATGGCAGGGGTCTTGTCATTGATGGGCCAGCGGCTCACACGGACCTCAAAAGCATCGATTGCAGTCAGGCCACCTTTGTCGGCAGCCTGCATGAAATATTCATGTTTCCCAACGTGTTGGACATCAGGAAGGCCGTACAGAAGCTGGCTGGTGGTGTTGAACTGGATCCAGGAGCCCTCTCCAACCACTTCATTGTGGTTCTGCCTCAGAGTGAGACGCAGCTTGTCTGTAGTTCCATCCTCTGGATCAAAGAATGTATCAGACGGGATTTTCACCTCAAAGTAGGTGCCCACCAGTGCGTTGACCTGGTCAATGGGGTTACGCAGGGAGGGCTTCTTGTTGAACGGGTCAGGGACGACTCCACCTGACGGCGTGGTGCGTCTGGGGGGCTTTGCTGTTGAAGTCTTTGGCTCTTTGGGAACTGGTGTGGTTTTGGGTCTCTTGGGTTTCTTGGTAGGTCTTCTTGTAGGTGTGGGGGGCGTGGCTGTGGCCTCCACATAGGTAGGCCTGGTCATGGTTGGCTGGATAGGAATGGTGCTGGTGGTCTCCATGACCCTTGTTGGCTGAGGGGGTCCCAGGGTCGGGGTGTGAGCGATTGGGTCACGGACTCTGATGGTGGGTTTTCCTGGTAGAGGGACAGGGCCTCTCACTGGAGGAGCAGAGCTTTCGGTTGGAGCAGCAATAGATGGTGAAGAAAGGGTTGGGATGATCCTCACTGGAGGCTCTACTACAGTCGTTGGAGGAAGAACTGCCAGGACGGGGGTTGGGGTATTGTTTAGCTGACGCCTGACCCTCTTTGGGATGTGGGGTTTCTTGTTGGCAATGTGCCACCCCACCACAGGGAAGCCCAGCTTGGCGGACATTGTGCCTTCTTTAGCAGGACCCTGGACACTGTTGATGTTTGGGACTGTACTCTGGTCCAGTGAGCAGCCGAGCTTCCAGGACAAGAGGGCGCCGTTCTCCACCACCTGCAGAGATAATAAGAATTTAAAGTAACTGTTTGAGTTATAATTGACAATTAACCTTTAAAACTTCAACGGAAGGCCTCACTTGTGCCTACAAAGTGTTCCTTTTCTATGTTATGCCTAATGTCATATCGTTGACTATTTGCTAACACATCCTTTAAAGCTGTACAACCTAAGCCAACAGCCAATTATGGAAGTCAACAAACCATTATCAATAGTAAAATTATGAATTTATACAAATAAATATGTGATCAGATATAAAATAAGCTACAAGAACACCTGAAGCATATTAATCCTGAACATTCCTGAATGTAGAAACATTAACAAATTATTCTTTACACTTCAGAAACTAATGCAACAATATTTAATTTGAAGGTTTGAAAGTAGTCACAGCCTCCTTCTCCATCAGTCTCTCACTTTTTTGGCATTCCCCGGCCCGGCCATGAATGCAGACATGTCGAACAACCTGTTGTTGACCACAGGGAGGATCTTCATGTGCTGCAGCTCCACCCCAGAGAAGCTCCTCATGTTATCGAGCAGCTCCACTCTCTGCTCAGAGCTCATCTTTGTCAGATCTGCGTCTAGGATCACCGTAAGCACGGTGACCGGCTCCTCGTTGCTACACATAAACGACTGGAAATCGTCATCTGTGGAGGCTTGATTTGACGCCAGCTGGGCTGAATCTGAGTCTGAATGATCTTCAGGGTGAACCTCTATGGAAAACATGTCTGAGGAAGCGGAGGATTTGGATTGGTTGGAGATGGAGACAGAGATGTAATGGACACCTTTGTCCTCCTCCAAAGGTAAACCCTGTAGGGTCCTGCTGTGGGGGAACCAATGCAGCCATGAGGGGAGGGAGTCCCGACCCAACTCTGTGATCTGAAACATGAAACAGATACAGATGTGTAACCATAGAGACCAGGAGGGATGATGCATAAAAATGTGAGTTACAATCAAAAACAGGTAAAAGGATATTCTTTCATTCTACATCAATGTTATTTTACACTGTAAACAGTTTACAGATTGAACATAAAAACTGGACAATAACGGTAACTAACTACATGGTGAATAGAAAATGAATATCCACATTTTCTAGTGTGTGAGGGAGAGACGTGCAGCCCGAGAAAAAGGAAATTGAATCGAAATAAAAAATAAATGCATGCCATTTATTTCTCTGTTGTTTGAAACATATTAACATGTGTGGGGAAAACGATCTTTATGCCTTCTTTGATTGTGTCTATGTCTCCTCCTAACTTCAATAACAGCAGCCTGTTGTGTGTAACACTGGTCTCCTGGGTTAGCACGTTCTTTTCAAAGGTGTTAAATTCAGACACTGTCACAATCACCTCAGTTTTTGTCAGGTTTGGTAAATCACAATGTGTGTACTAACTTCAGTTCTTTGCATTTTCTCCTCCCAGTGTTTTGCACGTTAGGACAGAAACGTCCCATCTTGAATATTCATTAAGTCAAACGTACTAAATGGACAATGCGTGTTGTTTTGCTCATTTGAAAGATTCAATCCTGGTAGATCAGAAAGCACTTTTTTGCGGGTGGTATCAAGTTTGCACACGTTTTAAGACACACAAACCTTTAGTAAATCTGACCCATAGTGCTTTAAAGACCTCCATCACAGACGAGTATCTGATGAAAGGCAGATGGGGTGGGGTCAAATCTAAAGATGGACTGACAAGGTTCAGTAATATTGCCAGAAATCTGATTCTGCGTCTTGCTGCAGCTCGTTTTAAGAGTTGACTTTTTGTTGTCAGATGGATTTATGGATTTCTTCGTAACAAACCTGAAACATAACTCGAGTTAGACGACTTCCTGCAGCCGCTAAAGCTGCTAAACACGAGACAACGATGACACCGCTAACGATACAGGCTAACGTTACATCTCAATCTGTTCTGAATAATATCTGGAGGGATGTACACCCTGCTTCTCTCTCTCTCTCTCTTCCTCTCTCTCTCTCAGTCGTTGTATCAAACAGAGACGGGCTAACTGTCTGCTCTGTATCTGAAGGCTGCTGTGTGAACTTCTCACCAGATGACCTCGGCCCGCTGACAAAGTTGCAGGAGAAGTTACACATTGTTCCTTTATGTGATTTACAGAAAGCCACTTCCACTGGTACACACCAATGGTACTCTAAGTTTCTAACAGTGTTATCTTCAGAAGGCATCACAAAATCTGTTTATGTTGGTCATGCAGTGTTTGTGGTCCTCCAGCAGCTTTGTCATTTATCTCAATTCAATTGATCTGTTATTGATTCAAGCTGTCATCCTTGGCAGAAAGAAATCAGAGCCTGCCAATGGGGACCTGCTGGACAAAACTGGAAACTATTCAAGTTGCTGTTTAGCAATGGTCTTCTTAAGTAGTTTGTCCAGCAGGGGGCGCTCTGACTCCATAGTTTACAATCCTGTCAGCACTGTCTACAGCTCATGAAGCAGAGACTCCCAGCTGAGGAGGTTTTGGTTCACAAAGTGTAATATTTATTTTAAATTAGAACCTTCTTATTGTCACAGACAGCACCTGGAAAACCACAATTCACCCAAACCACCTTTGGAAACTGAGCCGTCACACACACACACACACACACACACACACACACACACACACACACACACACACACACACACACACACACACACACACACACACACACCCCTGGGTTGTAATTTAATCCTGACTAAAATTAAAATTACTTGGCCAATTATATGTGTGTGGATGTCCCCGTGGCAGGAGGCTGATGGAGAGAAAAGGATCACCAGGGAGTGACGACGCATCAACACACATAAATCCAAACAAGAACAAATGCACAGCGAGCTCCAGCCCACCAGCTCATCTGCTGCTAATAAATCCTGCATGATAAATTATGTAGAGGCAGCGCTCCCCTGACACATAATTAAAGCTCTAACCAGTGCACGGGGGGGGGGGAATTAAAAACTAGACTGGGCCGCCCGCTTGGAGAACAACAGCCTCCATACAAGGGGCGCCCGCTCTAACCACTGTGCCTCCAGGGCCCCGCAAAGTTAGTTTTTTTAAACTTCAAATCATATCTGAATTTTAAACTTCGATATGATTCTTGTAACCATCACATGATATTGATATCTGTCTGTTACCATGACAACAACAATAACAGTCCTAGACACCTGAAATTGAGTAATTTCTTGTCTGTCCCTCTGGTTAAAACGTTAAGACTCCAGGTGTAATCCAACACACAGATCCAAACGTGATGTCTGATCAAATCAATTGAATTATTTTAAAAGCCCTCCTCTAAGAATCGCCACCCTAACATGGTGGGTTAGAACACATCTCTGCAGCTTTGTTTATGTCTCCTTATAAAAACATTTCAAATGACTCTGTTGTTGCGCCTTTATGAGAAACGTTTTAAGCTGCTGATTTGACAAAGGTTTTGTATCTCAGAGGAAACGTTCTTGGAAACATAAAATAAAGTGACAACATGTCCCTCTGCTGATGAACACAGTCTACACAGCACAGACGGGATTACAGACAGAGAGGATGATGGGATGTATTTGTTCAGAAAAATAAAGGTCGGCTCCTCCAGCAATGTTACATTAAATCTGTCACACAGAGTTTCACAGCCTCCGAACTTGAGTCCTCTTGCCTCCTGACATGGCACACCAAATTAAATCAGAGAGAGATGATGAAGGACGAGCGAGTGTACGGGCACTAAACTCATCACCGCTGTCACAATAAGAGCGTTAATGACCGAATGATGTCCCGATGGAGCCAAGAGCACGGCTCCATCTTCTGCTAGGGTTCACAACAGGTGAACATGTACCAACAGGTGAACATGTACAATCTACAACAGGTGAACATGTACCATCTACAACAGGTGAACATGTACCAACTACAACAGGTGAACGTGTACCAACAGGTGAACATGTACCATCTACAACAGGTGAACATGTACCATCTACAACAGGTGAACATGTACCATCTACAACAGGTGAACATGTACCATCTACAACAGGTGAACATGTACCAACTACAACAGGTGAACATGTACCAACTACAACAGGTGAACATGTACCAACAGGTGAACATGTACCAACAGGTGAACATGTACCAACTACAACAGGTGAACATGTACCATCTACAACAGGTGAACATGTACCAACAGGTGAACATGTACCAACTACAACAGGTGAACATGTACCAACTACAACAGGTGAACATGTACCAACAGGTGAACATGTACCAACTACAACAGGTGAACATGTACCAACAGGTGAACATGTACCAACAGGTGAACATGTACCAACAGGTGAACATGTACCAACTACAACAGGTGAACATGTACCAACTACAACAGGTGAACATGTACCAACAGGTGAACATGTACCAACTACAACAGGTGAACATGTACCAACAGGTGAACATGTACCAACTACAACAGGTGAACATGTACCAACAGGTGAACATGTACCATCTACAACAGGTGAACATGTACCAACTACAACAGGTGAACATGTACCAACAGGTGAACATGTACCAACTACAACAGGTGAACATGTACCAACAGGTGAACATGTACCAACTACAACAGGTGAACATGTACCATCTACAACAGGTGAACATGTACCAACAGGTGAACATGTACCAACTACAACAGGTGAACATGTACCAACTACAACAGGTGAACATGTACCAAAAGGTGAACATGTACCATCTACAACAGGTGAACATGTACCAACTACAACAGGTGAACATGTACCAACAGGTGAACATGTACCAACTACAACAGGTGAACATGTACCATCTACAACAGGTGAACATGTACCAACAGGTGAACATGTACCATCTACAACAGGTGAACATGTACCAACAGGTGAACATGTACCAACTACAACAGGTGAACATGTACCAACAGGTGAACATGTACCAACAGGTGAACATGTACCATCTACAACAGGTGAACATGTACCATCTACAACAGGTGAACATGTACCAACAGGTGAACATGTACCATCTACAACAGGTGAACATGTACCAACAGGTGAACATGTACCAACTACAACAGGTGAACATGTACCAACAGGTGAACATGTACCAACTACAACAGGTGAACATGTACCAACAGGTGAACATGTACCATCTACAACAGGTGAACATGTACCAACTACAACAGGTGAACATGTACCAACAGGTGAACATGTGCCATCTACAACAGGTGAACATGTACCATCTACAACAGGTGAACATGTACCAACAGGTGAACATGTACCATCGACAACAGGTGAACATGTACCATCTACAACAGGTGAACATGTACCAACAGGTGAACATGTACCAACTACAACAGGTGAACATGTACCAACAGGTGAACATGTACCATCTATAACAGGTGAACATGTACCATCTACAACAGGTGAACATGTACCAACAGGTGAACATTTACCAACTACAACAGGTGAACATGTACCATGTACAACAGGTGAACATGTACCAACAGGTGAACATGTACCAACAGGTGAACATGTATCAACTACAACAGGTGAACATGTACCAACAGGTGAACATGTACCAATAGGTGAACATGTACCAACAGGTGAACATGTACCAACTACAACAGGTGAACATGTACTAACTACAACAGGTGAACATGTACCAACAGGTGAACATGTACTAACTACAACAGGTGAACATGTACCATCTACAACAGGTGAACATGTACCAACAGGTGAACATGTACTAACTACAACAGGTGAACATGTACCATCTACAACAGGTGAACATGTACCAACAGGTGAACATGTACCAACTACAACAAGTGAACATGTACCAACTACAACAGGTGAACATGTACTAACTACAACAGGTGAACATGTACCATCTACAACAGGTGAACACGTACCAAC